GTCCTAAAACTCACCCCTTACATCTGAAGCTTAGATTCAGGGGAGCACATCACTTATTTGTCATATTTGCTTTACATATTGTATTTCATGGCGGAATTTGTGAGTTACATGATGAAGTCTAAAAAGATAACCTCTTGTTTGAAATGGCAATTGCTCCGTTCTGTTTTGGGTTTTGTTTTAGCTTAGTTTTCATGTTACCGCTCTGTACTAACCATTCAGTAAGGTACTCCCTGTATAAAGTCTTCTGTACCGAGATCTTCTGTATAGAATTGGTGTAGATTCAAAATTAATGACGTGTAGCAGGACCACGTTTTGAAACTCGCATTCTGTTAGGCAATTTCATCTAATCTTGTCATAACAGCTGCTTCGTATCTCTGATTGAATGGTTCATGGCGTTCATTCACTAGGAATTCCTTCTTGTTAGTTTTCCATAATTGCTTCCATAATATTTCACTTCTGGAAGAACATTGGGGACACTTTTTTTTTTATTTTACCTCCACAATCTAAAATGTAACCATTAACCTTCCAGTTTTCCATGCGGATGAAGTGCGTAAAATAAATTGACTATGAAGAAAAATCGCCAACTAATAACATTATTCTTCCAACATATGATGACATTGCGAGTTTCGGCGAATACGTTGTATGTATATTTCATATTAAAGCAAACTTAATTCTTTTCAGAAAAGGTAGACCAGTAATATTCCTTTTAAACTCTCTTTCCTAATTAAGAAATCAAAGAAACAACACATGGACTAAAACATTCAGTATATCTGAAACATCACCACCCAATCTTGATTCTTAATACTCTTGTGTAGACTCTTGTAACTTGGCATTCTTCACTTATCCCTAAAATATTTAAAGAAATATTTTAAGTTTAAACTTTCACATGTAAAAACTATACTATGTGAGTGTTCGCCAGTCATTACAACAGTAAATCATGATTCATACAATTATGCATTCAGTGAACAAAGGCGATTTAAACAGAGCAAACCGGAAATACACCAGCTGTAATATAGGAGAAACGGAAATACATGTGTTTTCATTACAATAAATTTTCATTCTCTTTGTCCTTAGTCAGAAACCAATTTTCTTGGATATTTTGCATATTGAAAACGTGATTTTTGACCGTCAAAATATCTATCTGTGGACAACATTAGCTTCTTACTTCGTTTTCAAGATTTCGTCTAATAGATATTTTTGATCATTTAGACTTATTACCCGCAGTACCCTCGAAAATTGAAAACGCATATTTTACTTTGGGGGTCCCATTTCATTAAGCTCTAGGAATAATTAATTTTGATAGTTATAGTGAAAAGTATGGAATATAGAAATGGCGCAAGGTCCGATTTTCCACCTATACTCTTTGCAAAAATGGGAATTGTTATTAATTTTTTAATCCACTTCCTAAAGTTGACATTGTTTAAGGTAGAGATTTATTTCGTTATTCCAGCGACTTCTTCAAATTAGATTCTTCCTTCATGCAAATTTAAACTTTTCTAAACATGATTAGCTCTTTGACGTAATGTTTATGTGAAATTGGAATATCTAAAAAAGTATGTAACCAAAATGTTCTAAAAAAGGTTCTATGTAAAGTTGTAAGGTTGTAATACGAAATTCACTCTGAATGGCATGTTTCGGGTTGCCAATTTTAATTAAAACTTTTAGATTTTAAAAAAAATACAAGGAAGTTCTAAAATGTCTGGAATGGTTTATTATTTACAGATAAAAGTGTAGATTTTATAATTCGTGTATTTATGCTATACAAAAATACTTAAAAGATTTCTAATGAAGTAAACCCTAGAAAACTCCCAAAGATTTTCATGTGAAAAAAAAAAAAAAAAAAAAAAAAAAAAAAAAAAAAAAAAAAAAAAAAAAAAAAAAAAAAACATGCAGCTAAAAAAAGCATGCATTTTCAGAACCTGTCAAACATTGTTTAAAAAAATGGACTCCGTATTTTCTTCCAGAAAAACTTTGTAGAGAAAGGTTTCGCTCCTGTTTACACTCTCAAAGTCTCATTTATAATTAAAGTACTGATAACAAAAAAATTGAAAAAAATGTAGAAAAAAAAATATGCAAAGCTTTATTAAATATCAACGTATGCTTCGTTTAATTATGCATGCCTCAATGTAAATATTACAAATACAGCATACGAAATCATTGTGTTAATGGTAGATAATTGTAATAACTATTTTTATATTTTCATTATATGTTTATGATTATTTTTAAAAAAGTTCATTAAATGAATGCGAGTTTAAAATTTTTGAAAAAGATAAATAAACGTAGATATTACAAGTAATAGTACAGTTATGACGATCGTAATTGTCTTGACTTGCCATTTGAGATAGAAAGATACTTAAATGTAGTATCGGCAGGTTAATTGGTCATGGTCAGCATCAAAATATTTTTGTTATTATTATACATAATATTATCGTATTAATTAATTTTATTAAATATTTCATGTTCTACATAAATCACTACAATAATTCCTGGTTAAAACCAGACGCCCGCATCTCATGCACAGTGTCCTCAAGTAGCACACTATAAGGCTCTAGTAACTCTAGCTTAACGCATATGGATCTGTCTTTATATGTCACAGGGCCGTATCACAAGGTCTCAGGTGCATGCACCTTCTATGCCCCAAACTCCTTCTCTGAACACCGTTCTCCCCTGAGCCGATACTGCTAGGATATGTATTGAACCAATTGGAAAAACTGGCACCCTACCACGAAGAACCATTGGTGTTAGTACCAAAGTGCGCCAAGGGTACCACCAATCTACTACCGATGTGCGTATTGTGCAACGCTATAGACCAAAATGCCGTCCAAAGCATTACGATGTAATATTCCACGAAGTTATAGAAAATTCTTTACTGGTGTTCGTCCACAATGGAGCGACAGTCTATCGCCGCCGCATAAAGATGGCAGACGAAAAGGCGGAATCCGGGCAAAATCGACAAGGCAGTTTCGAGTTCAAAACAGAGGGAAACTCAGTAGTACAAAGAAAGTCTGGATCCATATTAGCATCATTTTTATTTCTTTTGCAAAATTAAAATTTACCATATTGTTTTACGGTTAGTCCTAACAGTTAAGTTCTATTGTACTCTATTGGGGGTAGAAGATCTATATCTCAATAAACCTTTCTTGAAAAGATATGCATCAGAAATATTAATACGATTAAAAATATTCAAGCAGACCTACTTTTATAGTAAGAATTAATATATTAATAACATCTGTTCTTCCCAATCATCCTTTTCTAAATTTAGCGTTTTTGTTGGCTAATCTTTGCAACCGGCTTGGTGTTCACTCTTCTGGAAAAAGTGGTAGCAATGCGCTGCGTCTGCTCTATCCTCTGTGCCTGCCTAGCGCGCTCCGAAAACTGGCCCAACGTTCGTTCATTTTCGTGGGTCGGTGGCGCGAGAGCGAAATTCGTGGTTCGGTAAGCGTGCACGTTTGTGGAGAGGTTATGGCGATTGTTTCTCGAAGTGCCTCTGGGTGGACCACCGGTTAGATCTTTTTTTTACGCCAAAAAGACATAGTTTCTAGATCAAAAATGCGTTGTGGCGGTGTAATAAGGTTCTTGAAAGGTTACCCGCAATTAGTAATTCAAAAACGATTAAATTTGTGCAAAGTTTGAGTTGTGGATTTGAAGATTTTCCAAATGGCAAATTGATTTATTTAATTTTAAATCATGTGAAAGTGTCGTTGTGAAAGTTGAAGAGGCAATTCAGAAGAACCTGTGATAGTTATTTCAGGGAAATTAGGGTTTTTTCCATAGGGAATTTGGGGTTTTTTCCTTGAAACATTCCTCTTCCTCTTTTTTTGGACTATTGTATCTGTGTGGTATCCATGTGAAACCAAAAACTTTGAGAATAAACAAAATAATAATAATAATTTAGAATCGTATTGAGCCATTATACCAGTCCCTTAAAGATTAATTAGTCGGCACCCCTAAATACCGAGATTCTTTGTCGGTCACCAAAACTCGAACCCGCTTAACCTTCATGACTTCACGTAGTTAACGATTTCGGCTAGCGGTTTTGCGGTTGTGGCTTTTCAGTAGATCCATCCCAGCACTCTCCTCGATGACCGAGGGAAATCACGAAAACTCTTACAGAATGGCCGGCACGGGAATTGATCCCGGACCTCCCAAATGCAAATTCAGGGCGCTACGCCCTGAGGGGATAATAATAATATAGCAGTGTTGATATTAATGGGGTGAGACTCAGTTCATCAGACCAGCTCTTCCGTCTAACCACAAATTTTGGTGATCCTGCATTTCTTGCTATGAGCAAATATTTTTATCAAAAACAATACATTTTACTCTCCTAATTCAGAGAGATGTGTTATATTGTTTAAATAACAACTTTTATGTATGGCAGGATTTCCTGCCAACGAGAAGATGTGGTATCTTTATAATGAAAACCAACAAATTTTTATACACAAGGAAATATTTAAGTCTTGCATTGTTGAAGGTTTTATTTGCCATAACAAATATTACGTCAATTACCAAAGACATTTCAGCAAATTTAGTTAATTAAAAGATATTAACTGGTTTGGTTCCACTGAGCTCTCGGGTATATGAAGCGTAGAATTATTTATTGCGTGCGAGAGTTTGCAGTTACGAAATTCTGCCAATAGAGAGAAACGAGTTAAGTGTAGTCCATGAATTTTATTTTAGAAAAAAGGAGCAATAGCGATTTTGAAAGAACGAATGACATTGTATGATCTGTCAATTGGAAAAGAAATATGTGTAACTATAGTTAATTAAATAATTCAATTTTCACTCGTAGTTTGAAAATAATTAATACATGTAGTTGTAATAAATGGAATATTAATCTAAAAGTTTCCATGAATATTTTGTATTCCATGTGCCATTTAATATCGATTATCATGTTTGGAAATAACATTGTACTGTAAATGTCATAATACGTAAGACAATATTATCAAGTAAATTTTTTGGTGTTAATCGTAATATGAGATGCGCAGTCTTGTTCTACTCACGTCGTCTCTGCATACGTAATAAAAAGTATTTTTATGTAGCGTACAGGCTCAGTAAAACAACGAATGCACGTGATATTCTCTAAAAGGGTCACGTGCTCTCTCTTTTGCTTCTGAGCTCTGCTTCGAGGAAAAATAGGCAGCTTTATGCCAGAGCTGAGAAACACAAAATAACCTGAACTCCACTGAGGGGTTTCGCTCGCCATTCTGCAAAACGTGACCCTTCCTGACGATTTAGAATACTTCACTTAAAATTGACGCGTGACTCTTTGTTTCGAACATTCGAACTTCTGAATCAAGAGAAAAATTACCTCACGTGACATTATTGTATTCGTCACTTGAAAGGGACTCTTTGCTTCGAACATTCGGACTTCTGAATCAAGAGAAAAATTACATCAAGTTTTTTCTGGATTGAAACATTGATTTCTTTTTGTTAGTTTATATGTTTGTTTAAACTAGTTAAGAACGTTTTCTCAAGGTCATATTTATTTTAGCATTGTATATTTTTAATTGTAAAAGAAATAAAGATAACTAAGTCCATCTGTCAGAAAAATCAACTTAAAGCACCTTAATGTTGAATTAAAAATGTCAATGTTGAAATAAGTTTTTATCTTTCAATTTTTTTCGGTTTTTGGTTTTTTTTTCAACGTATGGGCCTGTGAATCACTTGTTTCTAGTAAGTAGCATAGCGTGACAAACAGCGTAACGTCATAAGCGACCAATATGTTTGAACGATTTTCCTCTCTGAGGGGAGGTCTTTTGTAATTCACTGTTACGAATAGTCGGTGGCATCAGTGTAGAATTTCGTTTGTGTTGTGTTACAGGGTGTTGCATTGACTCTTGTATTCGAGAAACGCGCATACGTCTCAGTGTTTCGACACAGGACTGCCCATTACTCGGCTTGTGGGTCGCAGGTGGGTTTAACAAAATTCAGATAATACTGAAACGCAGCAATTCCACTTTTGTTAATATTTTGAGGCATATATTAATAATCTTACATATATTTATTTATTTTCGAGGAAATCTTATTCACGTCTGCTTTATTTCTTATGGGAAATCGCGTGGGCAATGTCCGACCTATTTTTCTTTCCTTTGTATATTTGCGACAGTAGGACCCATAATACACAACAACGAAATGTGAAATCTAAAGCAAATAAAGGAATGTTTTTCTAATTTGATATGACGTACTCGAATAATAATTTTTATCTAAAATTATTTAAATTACCGTTTAAATAACAACAAATCCATTTCGATAGTAAATTGAGCTGGAAAGTCACGTAGATTTTGTTGTAAGAAAAGCCTGGGTATCTCTTCATTTCGTAATGAGCATCTTAAAAAAGAGTACGACAAACGCGAAGGAAATTATTTATTTATTGCGAATATCGATTTCCATTATCGATCGTACGATAATGGAATATGGCACAATTTCTCCACAACACAAAATTACCACACAAAATTATACAGTGTAAAAATTTCAACTTAGGGCAGCTAAATTTACTTTCAAAGACAAGAAAACGGCAGGCAGGGATTTCATTGAAAAGGACAATCAGAAACAAGACTGTGCTTTGTTTAAAGTTTATAGCGGTCCTCCATTTTGGAAAGAAATTAATCAGCGCGGCGGCGAAATATTCCTACTACTTGTATGTAACCAAAAGTATCCGGACGCGAGACTGAAAATGACTTACCAGTTCGTGGCGCCCTCCATCGGTAATGCTGGAACTCAATAGTGTAGTGGCCCAACCTTAGCCTTGATGAGAGTTTCCACTCTCGCAGGCATACTTTCAATGAGGTGCTGGAAAGTTTGCTTGAAGATCCGAGGTCTTGTGATTTGTTGAGACCGGATTTTTATGCCATTACAAATTTTATTGTCTTGCTACTTACCGTTCTCAAAATTATAGCCTTGCCGAATCGTCGCTCTCCTAATACATTATCCAAATTTTATCGTTTCGTATTTTGTACCACACTACCTATTTTGCTATTTTCACGAAATATTTTTTTTTTCAATTTTATTACACATTATTTTATGAAACGAAGTATTTTTTAAATATCAGCTTTTTTCGTAACTTTCAACTATACTTTCCAACAACTTTTGGCGATCGCCGACATGTAACACTTTGATGAGAATATTGCTGTAGTGATTGTTTGCTGGTCGCAGATATCGCCAGTTTGTACGATGGCTTTTATTACTTAAAGGGCATATTACAGTGCTATGAACCTTGGTCAAGCTGCTGAACTACGGCCCTGGATAACAATAGATGAAGATTTTACTACTGACGGTGAAGGTGTATGGTGCAAAGTGTGCATACGTGTAAACTTGTGCTCTCCAAATAATATTTAAAACGTTTGTATTGTTTTTAAAATTTGTTTAGGAATTTTTTTTATAAGTGTAGTTTTGTTTTAGGTAAACGTGTTTTATAATTTCAGAATTTTAATATTACATTATTATATTACAATATTATATTATATTTTAATACTACATTATTTCCAATTTTACATATTTATTACCTATTCTTACAGCTTTCATTACATATTTATATACATATTGTGACGTTTCATACTACATATTTTTTTCCGGTCTCCAGTGATAACATCCCGCGGGCGCCTGCAGAGCTGCACTGGACGCGCGCCGCATCGCTTCGTTCACGCAATCGCCGCGCAGCGCTGACTCACGCCCGCCGCAGCTCATCTCTGCGGTCGCGGCTGTTAGACGCGGCGACCTATGGGCCAACCGCCAGGCAGCGCCGCCGCTGGGTTAGTAATGCAACGGAGAAGAACGCGGACTGCGGAGCTTTAACAAGGCGAAATGAGTAACCGGCCGCGGGGGGGGGGGGTGTCTAATATTCCCACTTTCTCTAGTTGTGCAAATAGATTTGCGGCGCATGGTAACGGATCAAAGGCCGGCCATCTCTTCAGAGCAGAGGATGTCGTGTTGTTGCAGCGCATAGGAAAGGTTCGTTTATTTATACATAAATTTATTTATTTATTTATTTATTTACGGCAAAACACTTCGTGTGACGTGCTATGGGTTAAATTGAAGTTACATTTATGTCCAGAAGCAAAACAAGGGGCCATCTTACCATTTCCTCAAGGATTAGGAAAACTGGACAAAAACCTGATCGAGGTGGTGGTAACTGACCCATATCAAACGCCGTACATATCTTCTGAGCAGGGGATGTTCTTGAATGTTCATAAATAAATCGGTTATGAGACGTATTTTTAAATTAATACTACATTGACATTGATATTTGATGACATAGTTCGGTCACGAATACTCCAGCCTTTTGGAAGAGGGAAAGTAGAGTCACGTTAGACTGAACGAATTGATCTGTGAACTAATGAAACGGAATATATTTGTAATTCCTGACGGATAACTGAGTTCAAAAATATATCTTTATTATTTCCTAACTTAATTATTTTTCATTATTTTCTAATTTCAAGAGTAGTACGCTAGTTCTAATATAAATGTTGCTTAGTTCATTTTAAGGCGCTATGAAAACATGGTAGAAGAGCACCTCTGCTGTATGAACATTTGATTGAAAAAAACATGCAAGATCCTGCTGATCGAGATCATTTAACGCGATATTTATTTGATTCTTTTGATATAACATCTACATTTAATTTACATATCACCGATATCTACGATAATTTCTTTGAACTTACAAATTACATCTTTCAATTTTGTATGTTTTTGATCATTCTTTCAATACTTTTTTTTACTAAATGCATGGAAAATACCTAAATCTTAACTCATTATCTTTCTTAACTCACTTACCAGACACTCGAGAACGTTCTAGTTGTATATTCGATGACACGTAACGATGTTTTGCAACTGCGCTATCGAATATGAAATTGTTTGGCAACAGAAGATATCGTCTGGAGTCCACTGTAAAATATCGGAGACGATTCTTGACATGTTGAATAAAAAGTATGCGTCAAGATCAGTTTCACGAAATACGTCGTTCGTATAAAATCGACAACGCGCAATTTGACTCACATGTGTAGTTGTGTGTTATTGTAAATGAATGAAATTAATTACCGTATCGTATCAATTACCGTACTGGCTTAGGTGGTTCAGGGTGATGTTACTACAATGCCTCTGACTGGGAGGTCCTAGGGTTCGATTCCCGACGGTAGAAACATTTTCGACACTAGCTACATATCGAAGTGTAATTCATCAGCTGTGTGGAGGAGAATTCTAGCGTGGCCCGTTTGTTAGAGTACTGCTCCGGGATTCGCCTGGTATTGATCGGAGAAACCACAGAAAACTACCGATCAGAGCAGCCGGTTGCTAGAATTCTCCTCCACACAGCACCCGGCTCGGGCGGCACTTCGCTGGTGGGAGGCACCTGGTAGGGGAAACCCAAGTAGCCGACGTTTGGGTCGGCGCCGGATCTCACCACCTTCCTGGGAAGATCACCGCCACCCCGCAATAAAATCACACACTTCACTAGCGGAACTCATGTCCTTAGCAATTGATGCGCCCGAAATCACTAATCAATCAATCGATTACTGTGCTCGCCGCGAATTGCAGTAAATACATCTCGTGGCACAAACGCGACCAGCAAGCCGCTGATCTGAGACGCTTGAGGGATCTGTTGTTGTTTTGTTTTACCACAGCTGTGACGGGGACGCGATCCGTGCATTCCGACCGCAGCCCTAGTCATTCGCGAGCGCAGGGACTAATTTTCGCGGGCGAACGTGAGCCCGGAACAATGGAGAAAGACGCGCACCTCGCGAATTCTCCAAGACGACGGGTGAAAATGAGTCACCCGCACCAAGGAGTCTGAAAAAGGGCAATGAACCTTTCACGGACTTGTATGGGCACTAACGGTTTAACTAATTTACAGTCGTTCGATCAAACTCGAATGATTTATATTTTCTTGCTGAAAGAAAATTATCATAAAAGAACCATTTAACATTTGCCGAAGCAAATTTAAAGACAGAGAGATAAATTTCTGTTAGTCGAATGACTGGAATGTGACAACGCCATGCCGCCATCCACAAATACAA